GATCCCGGCCCCGCCCTGGCCCCGGTCCAGCCGTGTGTCTCTGCCTTTGCAGGAACGCGCTGATGTTCAACAACGAGCTCATGGCCGACGTGCACTTCGTCGTGGGGCCCCTGGGAGCCTCCAGGCGCGTGCCCGCCCACAAGGTGGGTAGGGGCGCGGCCCTGGCCCTGGCCGGCGCGGCTGGACGCAGTCTTCCCAGGCCTTCCTGGCTGCCCGCTGGCTAATGGCGACTCTTTCTCACCCGCAGTACGTCTTGGCCGTGGGCAGCTCTGTCTTCTATGCCATGTTCTACGGGGACCTCGCGGAAGTCAAGTCGGAAATTCACATTCCCGACGTGGAGCCTGCTGCCTTCCTGGTCTTGTTAAAGTAAGTGCTCTGCTCCAGGGCTGAAAGGATGGATGGGGTGGTTCCTTTCTGATGGTCCCGGGGAGGCCTCTGCAGACCCGAGCCCAAAGGCTCCTCCCCCACCAGCCCCGGCAGCCCCCCGAGTTCATGCCTTGCTCAGGTACCTGTACAGCGACGAGATCGACCTGGAGGCAGACACAGTGTTGGCCACGCTGTATGCTGCTAAGAAGTACATTGTGCCCGCGCTGGCCAAAGCCTGTGTCAACTTTCTGGAGACAAGTCTGGAAGCCAAAAATGCCTGCGTCCTGCTGTCCCAGAGCCGGCTATTTGAGGAGCCTGAGCTGACCCAGCGCTGTTGGGAGGTCATCGATGCCCAGGCCGAGATGGCTCTGCGCTCCGAAGGCTTCTGTGAAATTGACCGGCAGACACTGGAGATCATTGTAACCAGGGAGGCCCTCAACACCAAGGAGGCAGTGGTGTTTGAGGCTGTCCTGAACTGGGCCGAGGCTGAGTGCAAGAGGCAGGGCCTGCCAGTCACCCCACACAACAAGAGGCACGTCCTGGGGCCAGCTCTCTATCTTGTCCGAATTCCAACCATGACCCTGGAGGAGTTTGCCAATGGTGCTGCACAATCAGACATCTTGACCTTGGAGGAGACCCACAACATCTTCCTGTGGTACACAGCAGCCAACAAGCCTCTCCTTGACTTCCCTCTGACCAAGAGGAAGGGCCTGGCCCCACAGAGGTGCCACCGGTTCCAGTCTTCTGCCTATCGCAGCAACCAGTGGCGGTATCGTGGGCGCTGTGACAGCATCCAGTTTGCAGTGGACAGAAGGGTGTTTATTGCTGGTCTGGGCCTGTATGGGTCCAGCTCCGGGAAAGCCGAGTACAGTGTGAAGATAGAACTCAAGCGGCTGGGAATGGTCCTGGCGCAGAACCTGACCAAGTTTGTATCAGACGGATCCAGCAACACCTTTACAGTCTGGTTTGAGCACCCAGTCCAGGTAGAGCAGGACACCTTCTACACTGCCAGTGCTGTCCTGGATGGCAGTGAGCTCAGCTACTTTGGGCAAGAGGGGATGACAGAAGTACAGTGTGGGAAGGTGGCTTTCCAGTTCCAGTGCTCCTCAGACAGCACCAATGGGACTGGGGTCCAGGGTGGGCAAATCCCAGAGCTCATCTTCTATGCATGAAGCCATGAGAGGGCTTGCCACCTGCCCTTCCTTGTAGGAGGCCTCCTGGCAAGTGTGTGGGAGGTGCAGGACACTGCTGACTGCCTTACTGACACTGGTAATGCTTCTCCCAGCAGCCAGGGCCCAATGTCCCCAATGGCTGAATCCTAGGTGTTTCCTGTACACTGAGGTACATGCCTCAAGAAAGTGGGCAGGTATGAGGCAGGCCCCAGACACCTGCCCAGTGGCATTCAACAACTTTGAGGGTACATGGACATTTCTCCTACCCTTCTGGATTCTAAGTGGCTCCAGGCTTACCTTGAGACTTTTCCTTCAAACCCCAAGTTGCTGAAAAGTCACTTAAAATACTTTATCTATTTAAGTGGATTTTCATAATAAAGGTTTAACAAAACCATGTGTAGGTAAAGTGAGTAAGAGTTATAAATTGGGGTGTTCTCTTTCTCAGACAGCTGAGAAGAGCTGCCATGGAAAAAGCCATAATTGCTGAACAGTGCTGCGTGGTCAGAAACACATCATCAAGGGAGCTATTCTGTCCCTGAGACTCCTGTATGGTATCCAGGTTGGCTTTCTCTCCAGGGCTACAGCTAAGGACACTGTGGAAGGCCAGGTATATGGCCATTCCAGAACATCAAAGTCTTAGCCGGGCGCCGGTAGCTCATGCCTATAATCCTAGCTACTCAGGAGGCTGAGAACTGAGGATCACCTTTCAAAGCCAGCCCGGGCAGAAATATCCGTGAGATTCTTATCTCCAATGAACCACCAGAAAACCGGAAGTGGCGCTGTGGCTCAAGCGGTAGAGCGCTCACCTTGAGCTGAAGAGCTCAGGGACAGTGCCCAAGCCCAGAGTTCAAGCCCCACGACCGACGAAAAAACAAACAAAAAAGTCCTACTGCAGAAGACGTATTCAAGAGGCCAGCTGTGCTTCACTGTGGGTAAAGCAGCTCCCCAGCCCTGGTCTTTGTTCTCCATGGCTGTGTACACCCAGGTACTTGCTTTGTCCTGGAAATCCTCAGCTTGACTACCAAGGATAAGAATGGCCCCACCAGCAGTGACATGGCCTCCAGGGACATGCTGTAGGCCCCAGCCTAGTGTGCCTGTGTGGCTACTGCCAAGCACCAGGATCTCAGCCCTCCACCCCAGCCCCTGGTAGTGCTTTGTTACCACAGAGAGACATTGATGGGTCAGGAGCAAGGAAAAGGCCACCTCCCCTCTTGATAACAAAACTCTTAGTGGCTGGGAGAGTGCCTGCCTCCAGGAGCTGCCCTCGCCCCTGTGAGGAGGTGGTGCCTTCCTCAAGGCACCTGCAGGCCAAGCATTATCAAAGCCTGCAAAAGTAAGACAGGCTTCCCCAAAAAGAAATGCACTCATTACCTGACTTACGAAATGGTAACCGCTCTGTGCAACACCTTAGTAATAAAAATAAAATTATATTTAAACAAATAAGGCAGGCTCCCTACATATGGTACTATACCCTTTTCCCTCTGTCTACGCTCTGGTGCACACTCAGGCTCTGGCAGCAGGTCTAGGTTTGCTCCAAAACTAAAACCCTACCCTGCTGTACCATCAGCAGATTTTAGGAGTTATTCTTGCCTTGGGGTCCTACATGTTTTATTCCCCCCAACTCTTTGGAGCACCTTGGCAGGCTAGTTTGCAGGTGTTCCTGCCTAAGCGCAGCCTACCGATGGCTGGCGCGTTGATGCAGAGCTCCCCAGGGCCGAGTGGCACCTGTAAAGCCTGCCAAGCTTACCTATGGCTGGCGCGTTGATGCAGAGCTCCCTCGCCAAAAGAAGAAACGTCTTTCCCAGCACATACACGTTTACCTGTGAAAATAGCCAGAAACGCATTGGTGTTAAAAGAATGTGTGTGCACGTGCACAGCCTGCATGTATGTGCTGTTTCTGGGCTCAAGCCAGCATTCCACCACTTGAGCCACACCTCCACTTCTAGCTTTTTGGTAGTTAATTGGAGATAAAATCTCATGGACTTTCTTTTCTAGGCTAGCTTCAAACTGTGATCCTCAGATTTCAGCCTCCTTAGTAGCTAAAATTAACTGACCTGACCTACCAGTGCCCAGCTCTTTTTTAATCTTTTCCTTTTTTTCTTTTTCTGGTCAGTCATAGGGCTTGAACTCAGGGCCTTGGGTGCTGCCCCTGAGCTTTTTTCTGCTCAAAGCTAGCACTGTTACCACAGCTTGACTTCTGGTTTTCTGGGAATTGGAGATAAGATTGTCACAAACTTTCCTGCCTAGGCTGGCTTTGAACCACAATCCTCAGATTTCAGCCTCCTGAGTAACTAGGATTACAGGTGTGAGGCCACCTGGCTATCTTTCTTTTTTTGTCAATCATAGGGCTTGAACTCTGGGTCTGGGTGCTGTCCCTCAGCTCTTCAGCTCAAGATGAGCACTCTACCGCTTGAGCTACAGCACCACTTCCGGTTTTCTAGTGGTTTATTGGAGATAAGAGTCTCACACGCTTTCCTGCCCAGGCTGGCTTTGAACCACGATCCTTAGGTCTAAGCCTCTTGAGTAGCTAGGATTACAGGTGTGAGCCACTGGCACCCAGCCTGGCTATCTTTTTCTTAAAGTGCCTCTTTTTCTGCTCAGACTTCAAAGAATCTAATGTCAGAGCTCCCTGCTGGCCCACAGAGCACCCAATCTCTCAGAATTAGGTGGTCTCTAATGGCCTGCAGATCAGAAGTGTCTATCTTCTTTCTAAGCAGCTATTTAGGCTCCTCTCCAAATTACATTTGCTGGGGGGAGGGGGGGACGACAATAAAATACCTGTAGGGTGTGGTCAGGGTGCCCACTGTACTTGATTCTGAATCAGTATGACCTGCTTGCCATCCTCAGGCCAGCCACACTTTAAACCCTGTACTCCCAGGGGTGCACAGATCTCAGCCTCCACCTTGTTGCTGGGGGGGGGGGGGGCGGTTCCTCCACTGCTCCCTCCTCAGGGTCCCTATCTTCCTCAGAGGCCCTGCCATGGCTCCCTCCTTTGCCCTCGTGGGAACACGGCCACATGGGTCACATATCAGGAAAGCGAGGACCTAGCCTGTGTGTAGAACCCCAGGCGCTCAGTGCAGTCCTGTAATGGACCATAGTATCAGCCCCAAGGAACCCAGCACTGGCCTGAGCACTGGCCTGAGGTGTGGGCAGGTGGTGAGGGGGATGCTTCTGGGTGGGACCAGGCAGGTTCAGAGCAGGCCATGCAGTGTGGAAGATATAAAGGGCCAATAAAGCCCAGGTTCCCTAACCCATGCAAGTCTCTCTTGCTCTTAGCTCCCTGAGGACCCAATTGCTACTCTGACCCAGGCTTACCCGAGACTCCAGGACTCACCATTTAATCAGTCTGGCCTTGCAGTACAGCTTTTTCAAAGAATTCCTTACCTAATTAATCCTGGCCTATGGTCCCCTAGCCAAAGCCCTTTTTCCTGACATGAAGGTAGCACCCATGGGTGCTTGCAGACTTCAAGGAGCAGGGAGCCTAAGGAATGACACACTGTGAGGTTCACATCAGAGGCAGGAACTAGAGAGAGGGTTTGGGACACGTCAGCAAGGAGTCAGCCTGCAGGGAGGGCTGGGCCTGGATCCGACATCCAAGCAGCCTAGGCGGTGGCTTACTGGTTACCTCCTGCCTCTGGCTGAGGTTCTCCCAAGGCTTCATCGTAAGCACTGATAGCTCACAGTGCACCTTCTAAACCAGTGCTACCTTCTACAAGTCCCTAGATCATCCTCCAAGCTGTATGAATGGACTGAATCCATGTGTGGTGGTGAGCACACAGGTGGGTAGTGTGTATAAATGTCTAATGTGTAGAGTGTTAGTGACATTGGTGTGCAACATGAGCACACCAGAGGCAGGAGCTGGAGGGAGAGCTTAGAGCATGATAGCAGTGAGCCTGACATGTGCCCTTTCCAGAAGCATTCTGGCCCTTGTGCTAGATCTGTGCAAGCCTCTGTTTAGGCCACGTCATTCTGATACTGGGACACCCAGCTCCCACTGAAGAGCTGGCCCTAACCTCGGTCTGCCCACTTCCCTCACACTCCTTACCATCTTACCCTGGGTCCAGAGGGACACGGGTGGATGATGAGACATGAGTGCTGGCCCTGGTGGTACCAGTCTTTCCTAGGAAGTCACTGGGCTGGAAACCAGGTCATATGGCCTTGCCCTGAGCTGAGTACAATGCATCTGAGAGGCAGTCACTAAATTATCACAATTCCAACAAGTTATTTTTAGTCTGACCACAAAATATTTCACCAATAGCTGCTTAGAGATGCCATATATAAAGACAGCTGGAAAGACAAAAATACAAGGTACCATCTGAGTCAAGTCAGTCTAACTGTTGACCATTCCTGGAAAGCACTGAGCTCAATCATCAGAAGTGGTAGCCTGGCCTACAGCTCTCGGGGTCCCTGAGGGCACCCGGATCTACATGGGAGATGTCTTTGGCATGAAATCCATGGTATCTTCATGCTGCTGTTACCTTCCTTTTCCACTACATATCTCTTTCCTAGTTCTCAGCAGATGATTAAATAGACCTCCAGCCTTGCTATAACCCAGGGAATGGTCTGAGGACTTGAGTCAACCTACAGCTAGCCCCATAGTCTCAGTCCACAAGCTCCCCGGACACCAGTTCCCCACAATGTTTAGTTGTCTGAAAAAGAGCAAGGCAACAGAAAGGGCTTTCTCAGTACTAGGAAAGCAGGTGACTCCACAGTTCAAAATGCACGCATAGGGGCCAATTTTCCTTACTTTGTAAAGACTCTCCCTTGCCTAGCACCAAAATTCACATGCATTTCCCAAATGATTCTAATGAAGGACTGTATGGGTCCTGGATGGAACTATGACAGTGAACTATGCCAACAGCTGCCTTCTCCCACCCGAGAAGCCTGGGCCCTCCCTGCACTGCCTGTCTACCCTGCAGAGGAGGCTTTCTACCACACAGGCAGCACAGATAGGCCCCAGTCACCCCTGCAGGTAGGGAAAGGCATAGAAACAAAGAGATATACCTGGAGCAGGTCACTGAGGTCGAGGAGCATGTCTGCAGCTGGAGTTAAGGAGCATCTACACAGAGGCTACCAGGACCATGCATCCAGGGAGCTGAAGCATCGCTGTCAAATCTAAACCAGCACCTGGTCAGGGAGGTGAAGGCCATGATGGAACTCGAGGCCTCACATCAGGCCTGGCCAGAACCTTTGCTGCTTCAGAAACAGAGGGAGAACCCCTAGAATCTACTTCCAGGATGGGGCGCAGGAGGTATGGGGAGCAAGATCTGGGAACCATAAACAGGGCTTTAGTTCTTATGCACCTGCCACTTGGGTGTCTGCCACACAGGGTCCTCTGACTCAAAACAGCATGGAAACACACATAACACTCAAGCTGCATTTTTTTTTTTTTTTGGTCGATCGTAGGGCTTGAACTCTGGGTCTGGGCGCTGTCCCTCAGCTCTTCAGCTCAAGATGAGCACTCTACCGCTTGAGCTACAGCGCCACTTCCGGTTTTCTAGTGGTTTATTAGAGATAAGAGTCTCACACACTTTCCTGCCCAGACTGGCTTTGAATCACGATCCTTAGATCTCAGCCTCCTGAGTAGCTAGGATTACAGGTGTGAGCCACCGGTGCCCGGCTCAAACTGCATTTTTAAGTGCTTACTGAGTGCTTGCCAGATACCAGGAACATCCTGGAGTAGCAACCAGAGATTCCTTGGAGACAGACACTGGTGCAGCAAGGTGATGAATCCCAGCAGGCACTGCCGTGGAAGGGCTGAGGGACTCTCACATTCAGCAGATGAGTGAGTCCAAGCTCACATGGGCACTTGACAAGATATGAAACAAGTCAGGGGCAGGGCCCACGCAGCGGTCAGGCTGAAAGCCACACTATTGGCTGAAGGTACAGCCAATGTACACTGAGCATTTAGCAACCCGAGGCCCTAGAATCCACACACACACACACACACACACACGCACACACACACACCATTCACCTGCACACACAGAGACACACACACAGACACACACACAGACACACACACACACCATTCACCTGCACACACACAGACACACACACACACACACA